TTTTCATCGTGCAACACTGTATTATATGCTTAAAGACTTCATCGACATCATTATCATCATCGTTAATTCATCATCACTTAGCAATCGTTAAAATTATTGTACATTATATAATTAGTAATCGTTAGAATATAATATTATTGATGTACATATGGCTCCACCATGTCCATTGCGGAGAACGCGTAAATTACTAGACAAGCGTGAACATAGAGGGATCCAGCTTTATTAAGAATACCCGAATTTTTCTGGAAAATTATTCTCCTTTCGAAGAATTCTTTTATTCTTTAGTATTTTTTTCTTAGAAATATTTTGTTACCTCACATTTTACTTCTTTCCTTTTTTTTTTTTTTTCTTGCGTGTGTGCTTTAGGGAGATTGGGAGTTATATTTTTTCGGGTATTTAAAGAGGTTTCCTGCCGCTACAGTCGATCTAGTTACTTTTATGGGGAAAAACTTGAATTACCAATTCGGGGTTTCCTTTTTAAAAGCGACGAGGTGAAATTAGGGAATTACTTTGCAAACGTTGAAAACTTTGTCACTTGCGACTTTGTTCCTTTTTTTTTTTTTCAATTTCAAACTTTTTCTATCGAAACTTCGCAATTTTGGAAATTTACCAAATTTTCAAAAATAGTTACAAAAGTTCACAGTTTCGAAATTTTTCACGGATAAGAAAATCATACGATTCTGTAATTCCACCAGTCACTCGTAGGGAATTTGTTACAAATTGTACCATGTACTTCAAAGTCCAATTTCCAATTTTTTACAAATTTCAATATTCTTCTCAAGATCAAATCGACTGGGACGTTGTTCACGCATGTCTGTCGAATATCTACGTCATGTAACTTCTATCAAACGCACACGGGCGCATTAAGTCGAACCGCACCGCCGCATTGCCAATTCGCAAAAAATCTCCCTGCACCTGCGCGACGAAATCTCCCCACCATCTGTCATCCCGCACATTATTTCTCCAATTTCTCTCGCACGTTCTGGGCGGAGTGCACGCCGAGTACCTTTCCTCCCTATTATTCAACCTCAGTCACTCTCTGTACACGCACACACGCATGCACACGCCCATCCACGCTCAGTTCCGTTCGAACGCAACCACTAATTGTACATACAAAGTATCGCTTGCCATTTTTTAAATTTCGCGCGTACGCGCGTCTATGTTGTATACACACGTGTGAGGTTAGTGTTGGGAATCGCAACGCGACCATAATCCACCTCGAAGATCATATTCTCTACCATTCTCGCTCTCTTCCCCATTATACACAAACGAACAAATTTGCAATTTGGATAAAAATTGGACTAATCGAAGAAATTCACCTACTAAAACCCCACGGGCGAGCCGTGGACATTCAATAATTTTTAATTAATAATTTCGTAATAATCGCTATCGCGTTCCACGAGTAACACGGAAAAAATTGCAACTATGCGACAAAATTTTGTTTGCGAATCGACGGTCCTAGTCTCGAGTAATTTTCAAGGACACCCGGTATACCGAAACGTTTTATCTTTTTTATGTACACAAGTCCTTTCCTACGAGTCGAGTGTCCCGTCACAAAAAGTTCCTACAGCCAAAAACACGGAAACGAGATTCGAAAGCCGTCGATCCTAAGCACAAATTCAAACGTTCCAGCGAAAATCGTTCGGACGTTTCGCCGAAATGAGGAACAACACTATTCAACACCTCTAAAAAGAATTTCAAAATACAATCGAATTTAACAAATCTAACCTACTAAAATCACAAATGTTGCGCGCAGAGTGCCTCTGCAAATTCGATCATTAATTTTCACCGCGCCCGTTTTATCGACATACCGAGGTTGCCGGCCATTTTGAAAATGGCGTCCGATAACCTCTAAAATTAACTTTCTTGGAAACAACTTTCCGATCACAAAAGGCGATTTGATTCCCACCACTGTTACGCAAATTACCATGTAAATACGTGAGTGTGTGTGAGTCCATGTTCGTGTATGTGTATGTGTGTGTGTGTGTGTGTGTGCAACCTAGCGAATATATAATATATTGTATATATATAAAACGCTTCAAATAGAAATAATATTTCGCTAATTATTAAATCGAATGCGGAGCAAAAGAACTCCTTCCCCCCCTCCCCAAGTTTATTTTTTTCACGATTTCTTCGTTAGTATGCGATTTGTTTTCACAATGTTCTTTTTTTTTTTTTTACTTTTTTGCTTATCGTTTTCTACTAAAACGTACAACAATAATTTTTTTTTTCAGTCTAATACATTCCAAAGCACCAATTCGTTAAAGTTTCGCAATCCAATATGGCCGACACGGCCGTCAGGCTCTCATCTTTTTTCCATCTCGAGAAAGAATTTTCGCGTTTCCTTTTCGATGCACGCGTTTACACCTATTTAAAAAAGAAATTAAAAATAAAACTAGAGAATAAAAACAAAAAAACAAAAAAAAAAAAGAATAGAGAAAAACGACCAAAAAGATATCGAACAGCCAAGATTCTACCAACCTTGCTCTCGACGCTTAATTTTTCATCATTCCCTCATCGAATCCTCGATTCAACAATAATTTTGTTCACATTACGATTAGTATTAATGTATATTAATTATCGCAATATAGTCGCTAATAGATATAGTCGCTATATAGTCGCTAAAATCTCAAGACGCGCTTGAGATTTTGTCTCTTCGTGCGTGTGTACGTGTGTGTATGTGTGTTTCCTTTTTATCGAACAAAGCGCACGCAGTTTTGACCATCAGCACGATCGACCGAGTTCGTCTCGATATAGTTGTACAGTTGTGAGGATTAAAATGTTGTCTTTCGTTTTATTTATTTATTTATTTTTTTTTTTTTCTCTCCCTCTTACGACTAGTAATAAAATCTCGATCCGAGAGACGAATTTACTAAGCTAAGAAAAAACGCGCGTGCTCCATTTTGTAAAAGCTAGTATAGTTGTCGTAAAATTTATTAATATAGTTGATAGTGGCAGCATACACTTGCTTCGAAAATTCGCAATAAACCGTGTCGGTTCACCACGGCGAGATACTTTATACGTCCTCAAGGCTGATGATGTTTGCTATATAGTCGTTAGTATAGTTCTTAACTATAGTTAATCGTCGACCACGAAACGAAAACGTCAACCGATCGCAAACGTCACCCTCAATGGTAAAAATATCACATATGCGCGAGCAATAACGATTAGCATAGTTGATGAAAACGTTCGAACTACGGGGAAAAAACGACTATAACACTGTCTACGTTTTAGTAGCTCAAGTATACTTCACACCCGATTTTAGAGCCGAGTAACTATTAGTTAATAGTCAACTATAGTTACGTGTTTTCTTAACACCACTTCGCGTACACGCCTCAGATAGAAAAATTTCCATTAAATCGAATTATATGCCGCGACTATACTTCACGCCCAACTTAGATCAAAGTAACTATGGCTAATCGTTAACTGTAATTATACATTTTCTCAAAATTACGTATTCCGGATCGAAAAAGTTCCCATACAATCCAAATTGTACATCGCGCCAAATTTCAAGCTGATCGTGAGCGTGACTATGCGTGTTAATAGTTACACATTTCTCCAAATAACTTATCCCGGATGTTTTTTTTAAAACAAATCGACGTATATGCGCCCAACTATACTTCGCGGCCCGATTTAGAGCCGTACGAAAACCATAGTTAACACTTATTCTAAATACGTCGCTCCAATCAGAAATGGCCAGCTGCTGTCTAATTATCAAACGCGAAACAACTCCGAGGGCTAACTATTGTCGATTAGAGAGCAACTGTAAAATTTTATCAACCATACTTCGTTTCATATTCAATTTCATCGATCGTGTTATTTCCTTCGTTCCCACGGAGATACATATTTTCCATTCGAGAGAGACACTCGAACGTAAAATTTCAAATCGATGTTCAACCGTAACGATCCAGCAACTATACCTCTTTTTTCTCGATCGATCGTACGTGTGTGTGTGTGCGTGTGTCTGTACGCGTTCGTCCTTTTGTGTACGTGTGTATCCGCGTGCATTCTCTGTGATGCAAGTACAAATGTTAGTGTCAGGTGTTAGTAGTAATAATAACAGCGGTAACAGGAGCGAATAATAGTAATAATAAATAGTAATAGTAATAGTAGTAGTAGTAGTAGTAGTAGTAGTAGTAGTAGTAGTAGTAATAGTAGTAGTAGTAGTAGTAGTAAGTCGACTGGGTGCACATCCGACGAGGGCAGGTCCTACAATGACAAACAATGACGATACTCGTTTTCATTGAAATATTCTCGCGACAATTTGTACGATCATCAGTACTATACAATAGTTTTTTTTTTTTTTTCTTCTTTTTCCGCTATATCGTGTCGCTTCCTCAACCATTCTCAACACCTTTTACCATCACTGTAGCAATGTTAGTTCCATGAAGCGTGTCTCGCTATCTCCGTTGTTTCTTTCTCTTCTTTTCTTTTCTCTTCTTTCATTTTCTACAGTAAATTAGCGTGATGAATATTTTTGTACGTTTTGGTGTTAGTGGATGGCAGCCCCGAAAATTTCGTTAGTCGATTATAATTGAAGCTATGGTATCGCTCGTTAAGGTGGGTATGTCGTCCTCTTCACACGCGATTAAATAACATAAATAATTTTGAATTTTTTCTACCACACGAAGCTAGTGGACTTCTAAGTTATTGCCGTTTTCATTATTTCATAATGAATCTATGAAACGAATAAATTTTGTCTTAAAAAATTCAAACAAATCCCTTTCTAAATTGAGCAAATCACGCGAATTACAAAAAAGTACGAAAGTTTTCCGCATAGTACGTAGTATTCCGAATTTTGACTTGTTAGTATAGAAACAACGAGACCAATTTCACGAAAGAAATCTTCTAAATCACAATTTTCGAATTGATTCTTTTTTCGAGACGAATTTCTATTCCTTAATTTCTTTTTTTTTTTTCTTTTTTTCGTAAAATTGGCCCGAACGAGGTTAGTCAAAAATCTAGAAAAAAAAGGGTGAAAAAACGAAGGCAATGAATTGTCGATTAAAATTCTCAGGGCTTCTTACATTTTCTCTCTTCCTCTCTCATTCTCTCGTTTTACAAATAACAATTATGTACATATTATATAAATCGGTACATTATTCGCGCGGGCGAGAACAGAAGAAAAAAAAGAAAAGATGACGGAGAATATCGTTTCGCCAACGGCGTTTATAAAACCCAGAAGAATAATGCATCCGGACTACCATAACAAAGTATAATCCATTTAACTTTATTTATAATAATCTTCAATTTATAAGCTTCCTCCGTTTCTTCTACAGCTTCCAATAAATTAAAACAACTCTCTCTCTCTCTCTCTCTCTCTTCATTTCGCGATTAGTAACAAAAAAAAAACCATTACTCACTGTGGCACTCTTTCATTCTCTTTCTCTCCTTTTCACTCACGCTTTTTGTCTTTTTCTCTTCCTCTCTCTCACAGGGCTGAACGTTGCATCCAAGAAATTAGCGTATCTCAACCGTTTCTCAACTAATTACGAATACAGAACAGGATCTTCTTTCATATTGATTCAATACGCGTACACGAGTATCGGATTACATTTTCACGGTGACTGACCAAATCCAAATGCGCGGTGTTTGCAGTATTTTTTTTTTATATAATTAGGACAAGGGGGGGGGGGGAGCATTTTCTTGCTACTAGAGTTCACTTTCTGTTTGGATGAAGTATAAAAAGATGCTCATTATTCTTCTCCAATTTTTTTCTTCTCTTTTCTTTTCTTTTTTTTTTTTTTAGATAATTATTATATTCAGATTTGACTAATTTCATGATTTTCAAAATTTCATTTTCACGATTAAATCTGATACAATTCCTGGATTTTTGGAGTCTGAAAATTCCGCGGATTTTTAAATTCACGGATTCTTTTGAATATCCCGAGTTTCGAGAATTGCCGGATTTCTCGGCTTCCAGCCAGTCGTTTTTCTAATTTGAAAGATCGACCATTTCCTGATGAACAACCAAACAATGCTTTTCTCCTCTGCTCGTCAATCACCGTGATTGCAACCCGGAATCAGCAATATTCCACGAACATCTACGTATGCGTAGACAAACAGGTAAAAGGGGACACCTAGGGGAAACTCGGGGACAGACCAGGGTACTCGGTTGGACAAACAGACAGACAAGAGAGATTGCGGCACGATACGCGCACACATATGATACATAATCAGCGTGTGTGAACTTTCTAGTGTATTATAGCGTGTGTATTTATATGCACGTGTTACATGTTCTGTGTACCGTGTGTGTGTGTGTGTGTGTGTGAGAGAGTGTGTATGTGTGTGCGCACGCACACATGCTTGGCGCGTAGAGTGCAAGTGTGTGTGTGTGTGTGGTTCGACACATTTAAAAGGAGTATTATAGTTTGTCCCTTAAAAAACACAGAAACTCGAGTCTACGCTTGGCAGTATCATGAACAAATCGTTCGTCTCGATGATCGTCAGAAAGCTCGAGCGAACGCCGCTATACAATATATGGATGTATGTAATGTAATATTTACATATATGTTTTTTGCATTTTTTCTGTTTCCCCCCCTCTCTTTATCTCTCGTTTTCACGTCAGCCATTTCTGATCTATCTCTAGATGTCGTCAGATATAACGCGCGTGGTAGCAGCCATGTCTCTATGTCCTTTGTCTCTAACGTTCACAGTTTCTGCTCTTTTCCTTCGCTCTGATATTATCACTTTGTTTGACTGCAGTTTGCAGCAACGTGCGAGAAATACGACGACTACGACACATCTAGACAATGAGAAATCGACGTCGACAGTTAACGCCCTTGGCAGTGATCGTAGAATTGCATGTAGTTTTTCTTTCGTTTCAAAAGGTGTTCTGTCCACGTGTGTTGTGTGTGTATGTGGTGAGTCCATCTGTATGTATGCGTGCCTCTGTGTGGTATATGTGTACGTTCTCTCTTTCTCTCTCTCTCTCTCTCGTTCGCTCGTCGCCCCTTCACTCACACACTCTTGCATCCCGTCTCTCTTTTGCTTCTCCTTTCTCTCTTCTTTTTCATCTCTTTTTCTCTCTCTCTCTCTCTCTCTATCAGTTCGCACTCGTATACGGAGTAACGTGTGACCGGTTTTTGATTCGACGAAGGATGCGGTTCACCTTGATTCCCGGGCCGATCTCGTAGACGTCAAACTCATCTAACGCGAGAGGAAAACGTCGCTCGAGGCTACCACGAGTCGTCGTATCTCAACGCCGGCATCTCGCGGCCGCCACGCGAACTTCGCGCGACGGTGTCGCCGCATCGGGAATCGCGGCGAAGATTCTTCGCGCGGACTCGAGGTCGGTTCTAGAAAACGAAAGAGTCTGTGTTGATGACGACCTGCCGTCGACGGTCCGTGACGAATTTTCCTGCGCTCGACGTTACAGAGATCTTCTTTCATCAGTGTCGTTCTCTCGTTTAGCAAACCGAACACCACAGACTTTTTTTTTTTTCTTTTTGTATTGCACGATTTTCACTTTGGCATTGTATCATCCAAAGGACGATTTACCGTCTTCGGTTAGCCACGATCAAGTATCTAGAATTTTTAACTGATCACTAAGGGTACTTTTTTTGCTTTCTCTGGTGAAAACAATCAAGTTCCCTGGAAAAAGAGTCGACACTCATATATAAATCTGTTCTGTTAACCTGTTAATCGTGTTTCTTTCTTTCAAAGTTGATGCGTAATTTAAAAATCGTATCTGAAAGATAATTGAGAAGCTTCTTGAAAGATGGGTCCTCCTGTCTGTGGCCGATACAAGTGCCAAACAGTTAAACTACTGTTATAAGATTTTTCTTTATTTTGTAAATGTAACAAGAACAAACGAAGAACGTAGCTAATATTAAAAAATTACAACTAGAATTTCATCTACCCATTGTGGCCCATTGTCCAAAAAGTCCCCCCTTGATCATTTTGTCTCTTCAGAAGACAAGAGAAAAATGTGCAAATATTTTTCTGAAACTGATGAACGTATGGAAATACAAGATTTCAGTCAACAGGTTAAAGACAGATTGTCTTAAGTAAATAAAAGTAGCGTATCCTGCTCAGATCTTGATCATTCTAACCAAAGCTGATTCCAATCCCGAACTAAACCTCAGTCTACGTCACTCGCACGTGAGAGAACGACCTCAACAACTCTTCAGCAATGGCAATGTGAGTGAAATGCCTCTGCGGAATGTCCACCGACAGTCGAAAGGAAGTAGATTTTTACAAGCTACCCGGGCGCATTACGCTTAAACGTTAAAACTCTGTAAAGACTTTAGAGTTTCGAACGAACGTGTTAATTCGTCGTCGACCCGTGACCAAACCAACACTTTTGTCAACCACGGATCGACGACTGTCAGCTACTTTTACAGGTGTATACAATAGGCAATGTCGTCGTGCTTCAAGATAATCCTTCCGTTCCAATCTGACTCTCTCCCTCTATAGCAAAAACGGCGATGTCCAAAAACACCACTTGGTGTGTTTTTCGTGGTACAACAAGTGTGTGCAAATATGTCTGGTGTCTCTATCTGGGCCTCCTCAGTTTCTGCTCATTGCTGGAGCCATCCTTTCAAAAGATTCTACCGACAGACTACAATCCCTTTGTTTTCAAATTTGATCGCTCCAATTGGTCATCTTCAGATTCAAGCATATATGTATATATATATATATATATATAGATATATCGGCTTCCAGCAATGGTCCAAAACACTGATCGAGTTCCTAAAGGTGTTATCATCTCGCTGACGTCTGGAGAACAATGTGAATTACTTCGAGCAACAATCACATTGGTAGGCGATGGTAGTGATGGTCTGGGTGTCTTTTTCTCAACTTCCCAACAGTTCTGTCTCGCAAATAGTCGTCAAAGCTTCTTTCTACGATGTTCTGCGATGTGGCAGTGTCTGCCTTGCGGCGTTAGTTTGTGTAGATCTTTCATCGTAGACACGATGGGACGTCTCGATTGTCCCTGTCCGAACCAAGTCGATCCGGGGCGGTCAAAGAATGTCGTAACCTAATGGACGTGACGACTGGTGGTGATCATATCGGGTCACGTGACTCGTCTCGAGTATCGAACATGAAATCCTTCTGTTGGCCCTGGAACGACCAGATTCGGAGATAAAACGATGTTACTGCGATATATAGTAACGTGCCGCTTGAATTATTTCGCGAATCATTCAGCTGTATAACTGTACAATAGTAAAACACGGTGTCTATAGGATGTCTCTATTCTGCTCTAGGCGAAGTACTAGTAAGTCTTCCTCTCGTCCATCGTTCTACGTGTTATCCAGTCTCATCGTTTTGCACGTCGTTCCTTCGTCCAGGTCTTTGTCGCCAAAATAAATCGCCTTCTTCTTCTTCTCTTTTTTCTCCTCCCTAGACTTAACGAAATTCTGCACGCACATTATTTATCATTTTTTTTTTTCATATTTTTTCTTTTTTTGGTTTTGCTTCGTTTAACTTACTACGGAATTACAACTGGCGTACGATCACGTTAATAGCATAGAGTTACAGTGTTACAACATTGAGAATCTTAGTGTACAGTGTGTGGCTCACGTTTAGTGTCCCCGATGTGTGTATGCGCCCGTGTCTTCCCCGAATTAGCCGATTCTTCAGTGAAACTAAGTGCGTGCGCGCGTGTGTATGTGTGTTCGTCACTCTTTGTTCGTGTATGAGCCAACTGGAAAGTCCACTGATTGAGAGATGCATCTCTCAATGTCAGCTTCGTCCATCAGCCTTCTTGCTCTCAGCGATCGAGTATGTGTATTTTTAATGCTAGCATTGTATGTATGTCCCAGGGTCTGGTTAATCTTGGAGACCCAACACGTCGAAGCGTACCCTCCTACACCAACATTCGTCTGCAGCTGATCTGGCGCGACTCTGTTTCGTGTTTCTCTTTCGAAAAGATCTTCTTCCCTCTCTTTTTTTTTCTAAATTCCAATTTCTGTCAGCTTCTCGCGAAATCTGCCTTCTCACTTCAATTCGGTGTTCTCTTATCCATTCACTCGGTCGTTCTTACATTTTTCGCTCTCGATCCTTTCTCACCGTCTAAACGCAATTTAACAGTTCCCGTTTTCTCACACACTCCCACTCTTTCGCTCATAGTTTTCTCTCTCTCTCTCTCTCTCTCTCTCTTTCGCTCTCTCGTTCTAAATCTTTCTCTCCCACGTTTGCACAAGATTTACTTAATATTTTGCTTGATTTTGTTGATTTTTTCATCTTTTTTTTTTATTATTAAAAAATTAAAACGGACGGTTAAATTTCATGGTTTCGTTTTTTTTTTCTCGGTGAGCCGATGTCCGCTGCTGAAGGCACAAGGCTTTGCACTTGAACTCGGTCACCTAGCCTAGCTTCACTGACTTACTACGACCTACTACCAACTAGCCTTGCTTACTTTTACTTTACTTAACGTTCTACGCTGCTACTACGCATTTCTTTTTTTCTCTCCTTTCTTTATTCCTTTCTCTCTCTCTCTCTCTCTCTCTCTGTCTCTCTCCCCCTTTTCATTGCCAGTTTGCGAAAAAAGAAAACCCGGACGCGCGCAAATGCCAAGCCTCGTCTTCTGAATATATACCTATTCGTCGCGGAAAAAACCATTTCCACCATCATCAACGATCAACTCTTCAACTCTTCATCATTCATTCACTCTCTCTTTCTCTCTCTTTCTCTCTCTCTCTGTCTCTCCAAAACTTTTCTTTTCTCGTATAAACAATGTACATGCTAGCAATATATTATTATGCTGTGATACTCTATGGTATCATTATGTATAATCGTATCGTTTGTTATTATTTTTCATTATCATCATCATCATCATCTTCTTCTTCATCGTCATCATTTTTTTTTCTTTTTGTTTCTTTGTCACTTCGCACTCGATTCGTACATCGGCTAGGCCAGATCGCTGCTCAACAGCTGGCCATGGCCTACCTCGTCTCTCTCTCTCTCTCTCTCTCTCTCTCTCTCTCTCTCTCTCTCTCTCTCACACGCTCGCTCTCTATCTCTATCTGCTAGCGCAAAGCTACACAGAGTGCGATTAAATCATTAATCATCGTCGTGATTATCTCGTTGATCAGTCACAATTTCAGCCGAAAACTGTGCACGCATACGATCAACAGACACACGCTCTTTCACACACTCTGGTCTCCATAGCTATAGATTCTCCGGTCGCACATTCGTACTCGCTTGGTTGCTCTTACAACGCGCCCGCCTCTTTCCCTTATTACAATTACACATTATACATTTACATATCGATTCCGGGGGTAGCCAGGTAGAGGATATAGTAATAACATAACTGTAGCTCCTTATTACAGTCTCTGTACTGTCTCTACGTATCACAGCCTGGGTGCCTCGCCACTGCCTTCTTCCTGACTCTTTTCTTTTCTCTTGTTCTTTTTTTTTTCTTTCTTTCTTTCTCGTTTTTCATTATCCTCCGCATCATCCTCCGCGTCTAGCTCCAAACTAGCACTGCCGAAAAAAAACTAGGCTCTCATGCGACCTGCTTCAAGAGGCCGGTGCAGAGCGTAGAGAAGGTGAGAAGCGAATTCTGAACAAGCCGATGCTGCTCAAAGACATCGGTAATCTACTACTCAGGCAGTGGCATGGTGGTGCACTAGTACAGGAGGTTCTCCACGTCCACGGTCCACGTCTGTCGATGACGCTGCGCTCTGTAAGCCACGTCGTCGTGCCGGACGCCGCGCGGAATCGCGATGAAAAAACAACACTGTTAGCCGACGGTGATCGGCCACGGGGGAACTAGGGTGTCACGTCCCAGATCTCGGCGAGGAATAGTGGCAGTTTTTTGTTCTTGAACTTCAGACTGAAGCACATCTCGCTGTTCTGGTTGCCGAGGGTTCGCAGCTCGGTCAACACCGACAGAAGCTTCGCAAAGATCGTGCCGGACTTCGGCCTGCGCCTGTTGTCCACGTACGCCTTCAACGCCTCCAGATAGATCTCTTGGATCTTCTCGACCTTCCAGCCTTCAAGCAGGTTCGGCCTCTCTGTAAGAAAACAGGGGGATTCTTTTCTTTGTAGGCTGGCCCCGTGGTATTCGTGAGATCGACCGATGAGGCTGGTGAGGGTTAGGTTAGTCGTGTTTATCGCATGAGTGTTAAAGCCTTGAAGATGTCCCTAATGAATCCTGAGTAATGTATGTAGGAACCGACTAGAAATCTTTCGTGAGTCGTAATCTTTTGTCAAGTCTCGATGATGTTTGATACCGACGTGAGAGGCGATTGATCCTGTTCCAACGTTCGAACAGCTAGAGACGATATCGTTGCGTACTTACCTGAGAATATGACGATGGCCGTCAGCAACGCGTACTCAGCGTTGTTCACTTTCATGGCGTACATTTGCCGGCAGAAGTGTAGTAAATCCTCGATCGTCTCGCCCATGCCTGCCACGTTGTAGCTGTCCCTGGTGTAAGGCTGATTGTTGGCGAATATTATGCTATCCGTTTGTACGTCGTACTTCCTCGCCATTCGAAGCATCATCACCTCGCTGGAGCAGGCTTTCAGCAGGGCGATCTGATCCTCGCGCATCAGCTCGTCGAAGCCGGGTAACCTCTTCGAGAACTCGACGATCAACTGCACCGTCAGGATTGTGATCTCGGTGATGTGCCTGAACTTGTAGTCACTGATATCCTCTCCCTCTGAGGGCTGATGCTGCCACAAAATAGTAAAAAGCAGTCGTCGTCACATTACAGTTCTCTAAGTTTTTGAGAATTTCTCGAACGTGAACTGTACTCACAGTGATCCTCTTGAGATCCTCCTCACTGGGTTGCTCGTACTCGTTCTGGAAATACACGAGCCTGTGTATCAGCTCCTCCTGCTCCGGGCTGATCGGCTTCACGTAGCCGTAGGGGCTGACCGGCGTTAGAATGCCGCTGCTACCAGACGTGGACAACGATTCTGCTTCCGCCGGCTCGATCTTCACGCCCATCTGGTCGCTGCGTATCCCACTGCCTGGGGAACCGTTCATCGTTGTACTGTTCGGTTTGTCCTTCTCCTGGAACAGAGTCGCGTTTTCATTTAAAAAAAAAAAAAAAAAAAATGAAATAATTTCCATGACTTTTCTGAGAAAATTTCCACTCTCGTCCGTAACTCTCCCGTGACTATCCCGTAACTATCACGTGTCATTGTACGCACGTATGCCCGAAGACTATGAGCGTTGAGACATTAAGACGAATAATTCGCCAGCGAAGTTACAACGACATCGGTTTGCTATTCAACGCGAAGTAACGGATAGAAAGTTACCCGGCTACGACCGGGTCAGGAAGAGGATATACAATAGCATTAAGATTCAAGTGGAGCGGTTTACGGAAACTCTCGGCGAACCAATCAGAAAATAAGACATAACGGTGTCGTCGTATGTATTATTCATGGCGCCGTCCTCACCGGCTTCTAACTACGACTCGTTGAAAATTCAAGACGATTCATGAAAATACACTTTCGATCGAGCATTACCGTCAATCTGAACCGACGAGCGTCGTTTACAATAATCGCTCCCCGAGCAACCCAACTGCAAAATTTGTCGCGCCGCGATCCCTTTCGAATTGAATTCGTTTCGATGGTTACGGGAGGGAAACATATTCAAGATGGTGCTTGCCTGCTGATTTTACAGGAAAACAATTTGAAAATTCACTTAATTTTACGAGCGTGTGACAACTTGGAAACAAAAGGCGACGTTCTTCACTCGGCAAATATTTCATTTACGATAATATCTTTTTACACGTATGTACATTGTTTCGTCCAACATGAAGAAGTATGCTCCAAAATTCTTTCTCTCTCGAATATTTCAGAAACACGATGTTAAAGTACCACTTCTTAGTTATCAAAGAGCATGAAACACAGAATCAATAAGAACGAAAAAAAAGGGTACTTCCATATAATCTTTACAATGGAGGTGAGCACGTTCGGAACGTAACAACCAGCGATCGATACCAGAGTTCGAAAAAAAATTTAGACGACGGCAAATCACGGTACTTTCGCCGTGAACCGTAAAAGAAAAGGTCTGTCTCGATGGTCACCAAGCTGCAGGGTGTAAAGGACAGAACAAGGAGGGCAATGGATGGAAACGAGACAACAGAGGAAATAAGAGAAAGATCGTGGTGTCTGGCACGAAACGTATGGAGCCAGCAGCCCGCCGTGAAACACTCCATTCAATGGCGTTTGGCCCTCAGCTGGGGGTGGGTGGAAGGTTCTTAGGGGTCATGGGAGCAATGTGTGCAAGTTATACGATTCAACATTCGGTGCACACAGCTCCGAGCCGAGATTTGCGGGGGCAACCTCCACTTCCAACCACCTCCGAAAGGTCGGAGGACGAAGGAGGTCTCTGCGTCTGACGGGAATAAGAGAAGCGTCAAAGTCAGCGGTTCTCAACCGAAAACGTCGATGCCGAGTTTCTCCAATACGTTGGGACGTTCTCTCGTTACGTACAGAGCGATTGAGAAATATCTGAGCACTTGTAGAAAGCTCCTACATGTACGTATAAAACATTTGAAATTTTAACAATACGTGGGACACTATATAACACATACGACAAATGAAATTTGAAATCAATGCGCACATATATTTAGTAAAAAGTTGTAATACATTAGATGTATAGCCATCTTGAGCTGATGATTCCACTGACTATCGAGTCTTATTAATAGCGACGTTAAAATTTCAAAGTTCAAATTACCTCGTAAAACACACATAATACACTTGTAAAATGTGTCTGCAAGTATGTATAGGAATAGTTTTCACGAGCCACTTTACGTCTATACGTGACTTCAATTAAACGCGATCGTTCAGTAAAAATAAAGTAATTCAGTGAACTGGAAATTGACCTAGAAATTAAGTCTTCCCGAAACTGGAGAAACCGAAACGTCGAATCGGTATAATCGCGGATACACAGTCTTTTCATTCGATTGTTTCTCGTGACGTTCAACGTGCTGACGACAGCATTAATCGTGAGTTTATTGCAACGATGCGTGCCGCATCAGCAAAACCACAGCTGTTCGAAGAGATGTTTCTTTTCGAGGCAATCCACACACTGTGACAAATCGTGCCGAGTGACCATCGCCGATTCAAATATTCGACACGCCTCGGAGATTTGCACGACTGGACTCTGCAAAGGACTACTAAAAGATCGGTTCGAGGATGTCGTGTCGTACCGTAGAGCCTACAACTATCGCGTATTTTGCGTGAAGGTCGTACCGATATCCTATTACGGCGAGTGTGTGGTATGCACGCGATATGTATGAACGACACGTACGCGGACACACACATGGATGATCTTACATAAGAATGCCATGTTCTCGCTCTCACGCATTACTTATAGAATACGTTACAACGCCATACCGAGAAGAGGAAATGCATACATGCGTCCGTGGTCGAGACGTAGAGCCAGCCACTTTGATTCTCAATTGGTTGTTAATCCATGTCAATTATCACCGACCTGTTTACCGTGATTTCGCAATATCGTAGTTATATGCATACACGCGCGTGAATGTGTCAACTAGGTTGGAATGACCTTGAAAACCATTATCGAAGTATCGCTATATAAGTGAATTAAATGACCCGCGAATATATTGTATCATCATGTAAGCACATCGCTCGAGAGGATCGCGAAGCCAATTTCCCAGAGGATTATGGGGGATAATTCTCCGATATTAACTGGAATGGGACGAGGAAAACTCTGCATCGTACAAAGTGTGGACATATGGTCAATGTTGTAGAAAATTGTTATAATATATTATCTGTTCTTCTGATACTGCTCGTTTTATCTACAGGAACGTACATGAAAAATTTCGCGAAAAATAATCATAAAACTATCTATTTTAGCTTCTTAAATTTTTTTTTCTCAATAATGTTTTTACATTAGCGAATAAAGACACCTTTGTTCACGGAAATTATAAAAATTCAAACGTCTCTAAAATCAATGAAAAAAATTTATTTTATGACTAAGCCCAATATGATCTTAAAGAATGAAATCTTCCTTTCGCAACGATAGCTTAAAACTTGCATTCATCAGTTTATGATTTAAAAATTAGAGTTAGACAACGAAATATTAGGATTTCTTGAATTTTTGTCCTTTGACACTGATATTCAAAGCCCGATAAAATGGTGGAAAAGAAAGATCGTACAGCACGTTTTAAAAAGTCGCCGCAGAGAGAAAATTTCAATCTTCCAAATCGCGGTGGATCTAGTCACGAAAAACACTGTTCAGTGATTTTCTTGCGATATGTTTGAAACCTTGAAAGATAAATTTCTAAAAAAAAAAAAAAAAAAAAGTGGTAACGAACAGAATTAACGACGGAAATACGTAAAACTGCTGTTTATTTGATTAACGAACGCGAGGATCTAAATATTGACTAAGACACAGGAACTTCTACCTAGAATTCCGCCGCAAAATTGTTTCGGTGTTAGCAAACTGTGTACCTTTGAAAAGCTTACGTCAAACCACAATGTCCAGGTTGACTTAGGACCGGCGAAGCTGCTCGAACGTGTCGAAATCGCCTGCCAATGTAAACTGCGTGCTTACGACGCTCGATAAAGCTTCCTAACACGCTGCTGATTTTGCTGAGGGAAAACAAACGCAGACTGCCACGGCGTTTTAATCGAACTTGCTCGTTTTCGAAAGGAAAATTTATGGTCGCTTTGAGAGAGATTCGTGCCTGCGTGCCGACCGACGTGTGAGAGAATTTACGCAGAGTCAAAGGGACCCCAGAAATTCCGCGAAATCGAAATAAAAAAAGCCAAAGAAGAAAAATCGTCTTTGTCAAATTATCGATATTTTTGGCTCCGTTTGCCTATCGTGATCCTTCGCGCATCGAAACTAAATGCAACTCCAATATAAATTCCTATAAATTTTCCTAAGAATTTCCCAATCGAGAGAGGAATCGCAAATATGCCTCGCCGTTTCTGTGCAAGTCATCCAGTGTAAACGAAGCGACGGAACGACGTTGTTTACGGTCTACGGTTTCTCTCCTCTTTACCAAGCGAGTCTCAAGCGCTTCTCTCAAAGTTATTCCACGTTTCCTTATCATATAAAACGTTCGAGAAATCAAGGAGAAAAATGGTCCAATGGATTTCAACGGCAATTCCCTTACAATTCTCCAACTTCGTAACCTCTTCCCTCTTTCGTCTCCTATCCTCGAGCTTTCTTTTTCCCCTGCTTTCTCGCCTCTTTCTCTCCTCCTTTTAGGAAACACGACGATTCGTCTTCTACCGTGAAAAGAGCAGATACGATATTCGAGAGGGTCGTGTATTCAGGACACGATGCTTGCTATCGAACGACAACGATATTGTACGAATCGTCTAATGCACCTCTCCTCTCTAAAGTTAATAACGAGACGTTATGGGGAAAAAAAAAGAATTGATTTTCGATACAGTGAAATCTCACAAATTATTAGATAAATTAAATTGAATTGTAAAAGTTATTAAAAGGAATTTGCCGGAGTCAATTGGATAAATGGACGAGTTCTAAATGTAAAGAGCCTTTACTAATCAAATCTACCTGATAACCGTGCGAATGTGTCGTTTAGTTGAAGTTTTACATAATCAGCGGAAGATATATACACTCACACACACAACGTAATATGTATGCATATGTGTGTGTGTGAATCGCTGAAAGAAACGTTCAACTTAATTTCACGGTACACAATCTATCCGCGATAAATGGATTCGAGTCGTGTCAAATTTTTTTTTTTTTTTCCACCTCACTGTATATGGCATTCGCGAATAGTTCTTATTCAAGATTAATGTCGCATTTGTTACGCTCGCAATCTGTATAATTTTATGCGCTAGAGCCACGACTACTCCACGACATTACGGCAACACGTGATATCTTTGAATACGTAACTGAGCTTGTTACTTCAGCGGAATAGTGTTTCAATATTAAAAGCAAAACTAAAATTCACGCGTATATATGAAAATAATACTGCTCTGATTCTCATTTCACATTACATACTAAGGGGCAGGAAATAATCGCATATTTCAGTGACATTTTTGTCTTTCCAAGGTTCCTGTTATATAATCTCTTTTTAATTTGCAACTCTGACTCGCGCAGATTTCCAATTTTTCTTTTCTCAACATTCTACGCTGCAACGATTCGAGAACCATCGTGGGTGATGGCCCCCGATGACGACAAACGATACACGGTTAAAGAATCATTCAAAATAGAGATAGCTGGCGAGAAATTCATAAGACCGCATTTTATTAATACGTGACTCACCGTATCCAAGTTAAACAGACTCGAGACCTTCTTCAAGAACCCGTCCTGCGACTTCTTCTTTCTCCTGGTCGTCATCCTTGTCGTATCCAATCGATTGTCGTCCGATGTAAATTAATCCAATTAATCGAGACGCCTCAGACAGCCTCGAGCCACATACTTTTCTCACGGAACTCGCAAAACCGCACTTCACCGAAATAGGAAGCAGTGTTCGTGATAAAATCGATTTCTGTTTCGTACGAACTACGAATCGTTAGTGCGGAAGGAATCCGGACAAAAATCGAACTCGTTTCTTCAACTATTAAAATAAACGTAATAAAAATAAAAGTGATGTATTATTTATGTTGTGTGCGTATGTATATCTATCTGTATTGAACAGAAGTCAAGCTCAAGTTCTTCAACGCGGTGTTTAATTTTCACGTAGGCATTGATTCGAAAGTAGTACACTGGGTCAATGTTTAGATTGCAATATAAATGGAAAACATAGCTTGCTAGATTTCGATAATAATTTTCTGCAAAACTCCTACGCGAGAGTTTAACGTGGTGGTGCAACGTGAAAGTGTCTCGACCGCTTGAAAACTCAATCTAACGAGGAAACACGAGACCCGTTGCATAGGCCGGTAATTTTATATGCATGTCAAATACATCATAGATTCGAAGTCGCGATTACGGCGACACGGAGTCGTATTATAACTCCCCCAGCGGCCTATTTCCTGCGAGCCCATGCCGCATTTATATCTCACGCAAGTGTAACCTAATTGATAAAAGCCAGGGAGGTCGGCCCGTCCTACTTAGGTTGGTTAACCCGAATCGTTTGGCAAATAACGCGGGAAATTATTTCTTTATGAACGTCGTCACGTGCCATTGCTGAACCTTATGTAATATGTAATCACTGACGTCGATAAATCGTATGTATATATGTAAGCGTATTTACAAACACGTGAGGTGTGTAAACTCGTGAAATCTACAAATAGAACGGAGCAAAAACAATCAGCACTGTTAAACACGTGCATTTGTTTTAGAAAAGTTTTCAAGAAGAAATTATTTATAAAATGTATATTAAATTAAATTTATGATATATATATCGTTCTCTTTATATAGTTAATTCTTGCTCAGTGTCGGTGAGATCGTTGTTTAAATAAAATCAAAGAGGCTCGAGTTTCAACGCTGACGTAATTCGACTGTTTAAATCGCGCGCCATCTTGTACTCCGAAATCGATCAGAATCGATTTTCGATAGCCATGAACGAAACAGCGCGTAGAAGAGAGGGAACAAATGCTATCGTGGTTTCTTTTGAGTCACCGTGTTTAGAAAACGAACAGTCACGCGATCGCGTACTCCGAAAAGCCACGTACGAGAAAAGGTTAGTAGATGCTCCGTAAAGAGAATGCACTCTCCGGTTTAACCGGTGAACTGCGCCGCCCTGGGCGATCGATCAGTGAAAGTACGAAGTACAAAGTAGCACACACAGGCCTCGTCTGACTTGATATCTATCGATATACGTGCACGTATTTTTCCTGGACGCAAGACAAAAACCGAGTCCATGCTCCCACGAAAACCACGTATGTATAAGCTTCCTCTTTACATAGGCGCGTGCAACGCTACATACTTGTATAGTACGTGTGTATACACACGGGCGCGTTTATATTGTAAACAGGTTGTCCGTCCGTCTCACTCTAGTGCACGCTAAGCGTACTCCTGTGCAACGTACCGTGACGAATGACGACGCGGATAAGGAAACTCACGATTGTGAGCCTTCGATTTCCACGTGGATATACGCTTCACGCACACATTATCGCTCGCTATTCGTGCATCCTCGCGGCTAAAACGGGAATTTTTAATATACCTGTGACATACGTCATTCACATTCGAAAGAAAGCGACAGATGCAACGAAACGTCAAATATATATTTCGAAAAACGATACTGTTATATCTCGCGTCCTTCGCACGTATCGTCATAATGACAAGAAACCTAACGTAGAGTTTCAACTATTTCGTTTCTGAGAATATTTTTTGTTATTATTCGGAGAATAATGTTCGCTTAAAAAAAGAAAAGAAACATTCGGATTTCTCGATTGTCATATGTTCCTTCCGCACTACCCGCCAAAAAAAAAAAAAAAAAGAAAAAGACAGAAATAGATCCGTCTATTTAGGTATACACTTTACCTGCGTAAGAGGATCACTGATTCACGCTAACGGAGCACGTTACGGGACGACAAGGAGCAGATGCACTCGTCTATACGAACACTGCACTTTCATCTAATTTTAATTAAAAATCACCACGTATGAGGATGCCTATGCACGCACGATTCTCGCATTCCATGAGAAACACGGATGCACTCACACAGATGTGAAACAGGTTGCTCCTCGCTCATCCGTCTCGCTTCAGAATGAATTTCTACCGCCAATCGGATCACGATATTTTCTCAGGCTAGCACGTAGGACGAAAGAAGAAACAAAAAACGAGATTGAACACGAATGTCGATGTATGCACGACAGTTTTTTTTTTTTTTTTTTTTTCACCTATTCCACTTTGTCTCTTTATTCATCGACTTCACCCATTGCTCCGTTTTCGTTCGTACGTTTAAAATCAACACCGGTGGCGCGACAGAGGTTAGAAACTGTACTCGAGGAATGCCTGTCGTCGGCTTGCTGTCAAACGGTGAACGCCAGATGTTTTAGCGTTTCTCGGACGAATCAGTTTCCGCAATAGTTCGTACAGGTTCGCGTGACACGGTTATACGGCTGTGCTATAACGCCGATTAAAATCACTGACGCACCGGTTGGGAGGTTAGGTCGCTACGGACGCCTCCTCCTCCATCTCTCTAGCCGCTTTCTCTCTTTCGCTTTTCGATTCTCGATTGCACTCGCAGAAGGAACGCGCGACTTCGGAGCAACGATACGCTTTTCCCGCCACGTGATACGTACCGAATTCCCGACGATACCGATCGAACGCAGCCGACTGGAGATCGAACGACCGACCGAAAATAACACGAAACTGAACGCAAAGAAGCGAAACGTCAAGAGCTCTCGTACGCTTTACGGAGCTGGCCGTGGACGGGCCTCTTTGCTTGCTGACGTCATCGCTCGGCCGCCGGCATGAACTTCGCTGCACACGCACGGAGAGTGCCGACCCGAGCGCCACCGGATCTGCACGAACCTGCACGATCGTCTTCGCCAGAACTGTAAGCTGGGCGTTATCCAAATATATCAACTTTTATTCCAATTATTTTTTTACCTGTACAGAGAAGACCCTCTGCTTTTAATTAATGTTTACTTTGCCAACGCGCGTTTCAAATTAATAATTACACACCAGCTGAAACTCATCCAACGAAATGACGAAGATTTAATTGCAAAATACATCGTCTTCGATTTCGTTCGTTCGAGGCGGACGCTTTTATTTCAATGAAATCGTGTTTACATACATTGATACTTTGGTATCAATAATTTCGTTCGATTTAAAAAGAAAAATTCGTCGTTTTTTTTTTTATTTTTTAAACAACACTTCTCGCTTTTGTACTTTCGAAAACAATCGAATCGAGTTGGCAAATTTTTATTTCACCAGCACGCGCTGGATCGTCATTCCGGTATAAGCTGATGTCTCATAATTTTTTTATTCGAATAAAAAGCGGGCAAAATTACACGAAAGTACTCGCATTCTCTACCGCGTGCCTCTCGTTTTCCCTCTCGTTTCCTCTCATATCTCGCTTCCTCTCGTCCAGAACATACTAACCATACAGAAGACGTTCGTTTCTTCGGCGACTCCGTTTCGTGCCAGGCCGATCGCACGAGGTCGTACGGCTCTTTCGTTGTTGGGGGAAGTTCAGGTAGATCGAAGGATACCGCTTCAGGCACAGTCGCAATGATGGACAGTTTACACGAATTTTGGAAGCTACTTGCACGTTATTCCGTTTGGCTACGCTCTTGCATATCACGATCACGATCAAGAAATTGATCGTGATCGTGATTAATTTCTTTCAATATTCCTATATTGAAGCTATCATTGCAAAGGAAATAAATTACTCGAATTGACCGTTAAAATGAGCAAAACGTTATTTACATAACATAAATATACCATAAAGTTTCGAAAGCTTGGCAACTCCTAAAATTCCGAGTCATCGAAATGTCACAATTCGGCAGAAAAACCACTGTTTCCCGTTTTGGAAGTAAGAATTCAGCTAAATACGTTCGTGGAAATGCTCCTTTCTCTTTCAACGATTCCCATAATTGGTGAAGATTTCTGTTATCGCCGTTGCGTTAAATGGAATTTAAATGCAACTACTCGTCGTTAGGAATTCATGAGTTCGACGTTGATTCCGAATGCCACGTGACACTGTCAGGAAATTTGTTTCAATCTAATCTCTCGGAAAAAACGTGATTTTTGTTTGAACCAGCACGCGTGTTTAGCAGAATCGAATCTTTTCAAATTCTTCCAGTTCCTTTTCACAGATCTCAAACAAAAAAAAAAAAAAAAAAAAAACCAACTACCTGATATGACCGTACAATGACCGCATTCGAACCGTAGAAGAAACCAATTTTTTTTCTATGAGTCACCACTTTTAAATCCAACGACCTATGATCAGACATGTTTGCTAGAGAACAGGTGCACCGCGATTTTGTCTCAATTCATCCTCGTTTTTATGCGTCTGAATAAGCATGAAAGAAAGCCCCCCGGTTTCTTAACGGCTGCTTAACTCTTTCTAATCGTTCATGAAAAATAAATATGCTTAGAGGCCGAAAGCGGTCAACCGTATTCATACCTGACGATCCTTTTCCCTTCGAACGCTGCGAGCTATGTGACCTGGAAACTTTAACGAAACCTTTAGAATTTCCGGGGAGGCAATTTCACCAATGCGATGGTGTATCTTGCGTGCTGCCATATGCAACTGTGCCACCGACGCGCGGAATACGTCGCGAAACAATGGCAATGCTCAATGCTGTCTGACTGGCGGCAATTTGCATTTCCCTAACTGGCATCTCTAACCGGAGATAGGTCCCGCCGAAATCGTGTCGATGCATCGAAGCCCACCTAATGTTTCAGTAATGCACTCCTTTGAACCGATTTCCGGCAAAATTTGCTTACATTCTAACTGAAAATTGCACAGAGACTGCTGTAATGTACGTTCAGAAAACTGACCGGGTAAATATTGATTCGATGGAACACATATCTCTACTATTTTAACAATTTTTTCTTTTCTTTTTTTTTTGTAATTCGATACGAAAAAAAATCCTTTCTAGCTTGCTAATGATTTGAAACAATGATCATCTTGAATCTGAAACTGTTATATAATTTTTATTTGAAAATTTCACTTGAATTTTTCTAAGATTTACAATTAAGTGGAATTTGTATTATTGGATTAATAAAATATTAAATGGAAAAAGTATAGGTACAATATAATTGAAATTGAAACTATGAGTGACACCTATGTTTGTAACAGCTATATTCGTTAAACTCTGTCGATAAACTAACGTTCACCAAACTGGTAAATTAGACTAGCTTTTGCGAGAATAAGAAAATAGTTGCAAATAAACTATATAGAAATATTCGCAACAATCACGTTCCGTACAGTAAATAATCCTTCAAAAAGAATTTATTTTACATGTAGTTTGCAAATCGAGTGCTTCGAGGTTAATAATCGTATCACCGATCACGTTTTGAAAGATCGCTTGCGCCAAGAGATGGAAAGATGGGAGGATGTGTGAGAAAAAACACAATGCCAATGCGAAACAATTGATCTCGTGGTTTATTGCATCGAACATAATGGAATCCAAGGAAAAGCGCCGAAGAGGATGCTGGAGCTTAATTAGTGCATGTCGGGGACCGAACGTCAAGAGTTCCATTTCTTTCTCGTATTTTTCAGAATGTTTGTCCGCGGTTGAATCTCAGCAGCCTCCACCTTCCGTACGACCCTAGTAATGAGAGAAAAAAAAAAAAAAGAACACACACGCGCGCACACAGAGAGAAAAGGATAGGAAGTTAGCTGCCGAACACCCTAGGCTAATCTCTCATAACTGGAGTGGCTCATTTGTGGCAAGAGTCGCAATGCTCATCGAGGAATAAAAAAGAGACCGAAGAAAAAAGGGATAAGTAGAGAGAGTAATGCACGTACGAGAGAAGGGCAGGTAGTAAATAAGGGAGAAAGAAAGCGGAGATAAAGCTAGGCAGAAGGGTGAGTTAGGGTAATTGGCACCAAGCCCTTTTTCCCCCGCTGTGTTAGTAACCGCGACCGAGAAAGAAGGGAATTTTGAAGTCATTTAATACCTTGAACAGGAACGAAATCCCTCTGCTATAATAATAAATGCCTCGTGCATTTATATACGAAGCCATTATTGCGAGAAAATGTCCCGTCGAGTTGTTTTATTTTATATTTACAAAACGTAAAACGTTCAACATTCCTTTGAGAAATAACGACCTTCCCTTGTTAAACGGAAGTTGTGAAATTGTTAATGTAAAATGAACTTAACCGATCAAAGACCAAGCAACAATTATAAATACCTCAGTTTCTTGAAATTTTACGAAATCATCTAAGGATCTAAGAACAGAAATGCTAACGAAAAAGATGTCAAAGGAAATCTGCAGTATTGAGAGACAGAATTTGCTGGTGTAAGTTAATTAAAAAAAAAAAAAAATTGCAAACGAAATATTGCGCATGAACGCGACGTTAGTCTTTGACGGGTTAAATATTGCAGTAGAGTGAAATACCCTAGGAAAACGAATCGTCTTAACGCCTGACGAACCGCAAATATTCTACACCGGTGAAAGAAAGTTTCAGTGATCTGTGGCCGACCTCGGCAAACATTGATATTCATTGCGATGCAAACATGCATTGGACAATGCCTTCGAATTTGTCCACGGTGCACTGCATGCATGAAAGCGATTTCATTCGGATTCGACGAAGCTCGACGTGGCAATCCTGTCTGCGCGAGCGCCCGACAATTCCCTCGGGAACTCGCGTTCCCAAATCGGCAAGATCTCGTTTGACGTATTTCAACGCTAGGGAACCGATCGAACAACCTTTTCCTCCGTTCAATAAAGGAATTATCGAAGGTACACACACGCTTTCGTAATATTTTACAAAAAACAAATTTGTAGCAAGAGTCGACGCTGGTAAATTTCACGTCAAAAGAAAGCGATGAAAAAAAGGAGGCCCGCCTGAAGGATTTGTCTTAAGAGAGTTTTCGCGAAGCAAAGAGTGAGAGAGGGAAGAATCTCGACACAAAATTGTACGTCGCTCGAACAAAGGAAAAAGGGATGAGTGATCTGCTTTGTATCGTTATAAAGAGAATAAAGCCGGCAAGAGAATGGCGTGGCGAGTGACATATTGTGGATATTCGAAACAAGAAGATGAAAGATGAAACAGATCCTCTCCAGGGAGGACACTATTGAACAGCAGTATAGTACGTTCGAGTGTCCGCGGCAAGGACCATCGAACTTGATTCTTCGAGATATATACTTGAACAGCGTCGAAGATCTTGAATATTGAAATCTAAAGTGTGTCATTGTCGCAACTATAAATCTCCAGTGGAATGTTCCAGGCTTTTCGCGAAAATGCAAAAGTCGTTTGACTACATCAAGGAATAAAACCATGGGACTTCCGTGGGATCTCGAATAACTATCAGCGCCGAGAAATGAATTTAAGATGGTAGAATAGCTCCAAAATGAAACTGATAAAACAATACGATCGATTAATCATTCCGACACGATTAGCAAATCTCCTTACCGAGATAAATCTCGGAGGAGAGCATTACGAGTAGTCGAACTCCTTAACAAAGAACTCCCTTACGGGAGTACGCAGTCTATAGCGGTATCAAGGTTTAACGAATCTTTTTAAATTCGCGGCGCGCATCCTCTAACCACTTGGTCTCGCAGTTTCCTTCAGTTTCCTTCCTTTTACTCCTTACCCATACCACGAATCGTTCTCCGCTCTCGTAGTCCGAGCCTGTATCGACGTATCAGCAAGGGGCGTAGCCCTAAGGCGAGAGTAAACCCGATTAGACGGTACACTAAATCTCATTCAACCAGCGTTCATTGTTAAGTGCTTCTATCGTCTTTCGTTCCTCGTAAAAAGCGTTTCATAGCTGTCGCCAAGCGACGGCTCTGTCTTGCGGAAATATTCTCGTATTTCAGCGCTCCCCGAAACAGTCCGCCTCTCTTTTGTTTTTCAGGTCGATTAACGAACATTGGCCATGTCTCGTTTGATGCTCTTTAATTTAACATTTATCTCGCCAATTACGGATCATTTGGAATTTCTATACCTATTGTGGAATGTCCGAACTGTAGGACAATGGAGTAAATTAAACGACGTTACTCTGAAAGTTTCGTTTGAAAATTCCAATGAATTCGAGAACAGTAATTAGTTGAAAGAACAAATAATTCTCAATTAATGATGTGTCGTTAACCTTTAGTGGAACAGCAGAGCATAGCTCTCGTGCCTTTAAGTAATCATTTAAAGTCAAATAAAAGCATAGCACGTTTTCTCCGGTACCGTATAATTTTTGTTTGAAACACTTCTGTGTCATTAATACTACTCATTTAAATGTTTCCAATTAAATTCGACGCGTTGTGTATCTATTATCGACTTAAGCCAATGAAATTACTACATAGGCCAAATATTTTTATATCGAGGCTATACTTTAGAAGCATTTTGTTTGTGAAACTTAAAAATGACAAGCCACTTCGGTCATTTATATTCTTCGAAACCTTCATATTCTACACAAGATACAAGCATTTCTTGAGAAAGAACTGCTATTTTGCGTTCAAGAAATCTACAGAGTCTCCACGAACCTGGCAATGAACGTAGTACCAAAATGACACGATGAAGAATGTGATTGTAAATACCAAGTGTTTTAAATTAATGTCCAAGAGATGTTACCCGAGAGATTTTACGGACCGGTAAATATTTTCATAGGTAATAGCGCAACATCGACTAATCGCTGCTACTTAATGAGAAACGTTGCAACTACAGCACCCTGATGCACTGGTCGTTGCGTCATTAAACCGCAACGCCCTTAATAACGAAGAGATAAACTGCAGGTTGCAGCTTCGTAACCAGATGGTAAGAACTCGAATCGAATGCATCACTGTCATGCAAATTGCTTTCGTTCTCTCCGCATATTCTCTTTCGCCATTACCGCGTTCCTGCTGTTTGATCGTTTCCGCGCAACCCTTGCCAATGCCATCGGGAACAGGCTACGTAATATGTATGCGCCGAGTACGATTTTCTCTGTCGGGAAAATACGTTTTCGTGCTTCAAACGATTAAATCGAATTTTCATTCTTCGAAATTAAACGTAAACTTAAAAATGAACGATCGCGGATTATGCCGTTTTCACTGTCTAACGTTCTTGTTAATTTTGTTGAAACATGCGTGATATTTGACAAACATACAGACACTGTTAAATATTCTAAATTAAATCAGACCAACACGTTTTTAGAAGCTTGATGAAATGTGAGAAACGAATAAAAAGGTTAATACTAGAATTATCAGAGCAGTTAACTTATGACCAATTTATTTATACTTTTTCTGTGTATTTTATAAATTCACCTAACGATGCATTTGTAGAAATTTATACGATCTTTCGTGAAATGTTTTTGCTCTTTACTGTATTGTAAACTTTTTTTTAATTTCTCCGATACAAGTTTTATACTTTAGTAGATAGTTCTAATATTAAATCAATACAATAAAAATCCATTTATATGAACTTATCAGAAGACGAATACGTAATTGGTGTTTAGATAACAGGAGTCTATTAATTCTTCTTATTCTATATTCAAATGAACGTGCAAATAAACAGAACCAATAAGCGAGAGATCGTGCAGTCGGATACAAATTAAAATTCTATTCAAACAAATGAAGTTCATATAAACGAAGATCTACCGAAATGCACCCCGAGACAAAAAGACAGCATACTCTAAAAATTATTAAATATCCTTCTATTGAAGAAATCTTTCTTATATGCATTCTTTCGTAGTGCTTTTATCAGTATGCATAAGTAACATACATAAGTCATACACGAACTTTTTCGTTTCGCAAATTATTGTTTTACTGCTTTCACGGTATGCATGGCTGCGTGTCGCATATGTGTTAATTTGTTCGTCAATCATTTCAATATTCATTTTATTATTTAATTTTTTGCAATGAATTTTCCATCTTACCTCAGTAACCAATATCTCCCCAAATCATTATACCGCTGCCTCCTCCCATGGACCGATGACTCAGAAATAGTTGCAGAAAAAGCTGGACTTGCGACGAATGTTGGGAATGTGTGCCTTTCGTAAATCACGATAATAGTAATGGAAACCATCAGGTCCGTCTAAATTGAAGCTCTTTTCGTAAATGCGACTTTTCGCCACTTCTTACTCATATAAACGTGTTTCTCTGCAAATTGTAAACGGCACAGCTCCCGCATTTGCTTTAACCAAGGTTTTTGTTACAATTTTCGTTTCAGGTGTTCACAGTTCTTTAAAAGACGTTAAACATTCCCAACATTCGTCGCAAGTCCAGATTTTTCTGCAATTTGTCTCGCAGTCGAGCTTGAATTTGACGCTGCACGTATTAAAGCACGTTTATCCCGAGCTGTTAAACACCGCAATCGTCCACAATTTTTTCTTTTTCCATAATTATCGGGATCTTTTAATAAATTCATTGTTATTTTACGATTTCTGTCAACTGTTTTGGCTATTTCTGTCACGGAATAACGTTCTTCGTTTAGTTTCAGTATCAATATGTACTTCAGTCGAATATAATTTTTCCCCACGACTCATTTTTACAAATGTTAATACACACTTAACCCCGACCGTATTTCACGCGAATGTTACACTTTCGACAGCTCCCGTACGACTGACGAGCGTAAATATTCAGACTTGTTCGGTCCGGTCTGCCTCGAGGCTACAGATTAGGATATTTACGTTTTCGTTTTTGTATTTCGGTGAAATTGCTTTTCTGAGAAACTGTCTCGGTAAACACATTCGACATAACACACGTGGCCAAAGATATTGAGGTGATGATCTACGCATTCTCTCATATGTACATAACATGAGAAAATATAGAGTGTGATATCGTTTTGTCTCAGAGTTTAAGTATACTACAAACTATAGAATATAGTTGTGATGTAATTAAAGCATATGACGATAGAAAAGAGGAAAGAACAAAGCAGCATGCTTAGAGCAAAAGCAAAGCAGCGTCTGGTAGTTGTAAGCGATGAATGCTCACCTGGTCCCCGTCGTGTCCTTGCCAGCTGTCGTGACTCTGCAAATGAAAGGGACTTACATGAGTATGAATTGCAAATCCGTGTTACACGAGCGTATTAAAAAAGAAGAAGATATATTAAAAAAAGGACTTCGTTCGAATAACTGTTCGTGTCTCTTTCCTGTTCCATATGAAAGAGAGGAAGAGAAAAAAAAAAATCGTTCGAGATTGCAATATCGGTTAATACTTCAGCGAGCAGCGTAGCACGTCCTGCGCTTTCTGCCAAATTTCGCAGTGTGTTCATGCCAAATGTTCTGAAACGTATTTTATTTGCGGTAGGACAAAGAGCTGGCGTAGAATCCACCTGTGAACCGACCACATCGTCATCCAATTTTCCACTCCACTATCTCGTCCCTACAGCGTCGAGATTTATACCCAGAAATTTGGTTTATGATCATCCGCGTGATTGCATCCACAGGAAAAAAAAAAAAATTCCAGAGACACGAACTACACTGTCGTTCCTTTTATCAATTCCTTAACATTCGAGGCAATTCGAATGTTAGACTCTTTCTGTCTAACTTCCTCTGAATCAAAAATGAAATTCAATTATCTTTAATTTAAGGGCCCTTAAAATTTCTTGAAAAAGAATTATCAACAAAAAATTATCGCTTTGTTGTTAACCCTTTTCAATCCCTTTGGACAGATTTTATTGCCGCGTTGAAAGTAGTTCGTCCTTCCGAAATATTTGCTCAAGATACTTGATTACAACATAATTATTTTATTCTATTTATTTAAATTTGTTTCCATTTCATTGAAACAAAATTAATTAACTGAACTATCAGAATTTTAATAAAATCAAGGGATTACTTCGCCTTGTCTGAATTACTCGATCCGGCATTCCGTAATACAGTTCATTAAATCGGTATAAATAATATCAGGAACTGTATAGACAGCTGTTTTATCGGACGTGGAGGTCGACCGACAATGTCGGAAGTATAGGTGGCCGGTCGCCGGGTTAATGTTGAATCGCCTTGTTAGATTTATGGCGGCAATATAGGCGTCACGATGCACGTTGAACATTGCAGTCCGTGTGCTGCAAACTGATCCGACGCAGCATTCGTTATGACACATATTCGATATGTGTTGAGAATTTTCAAAGGTTCTGCTGATATATACCGCGTTCTAACGTATAACTTTCGCGAGGCTTGAACTTACGGCCCGAGATATTAGGATGATAATTTACGGCGTCAAACGCGAGAAATATCGTAATAAATTAAATAAATTGCACGGAATAAGTCTGAGAGATATGTGGGGTGGAAGAAGTATAACGAAAGGGCCGGAAACTTCGGATATCTTAAGAGCTAGAACATCTCGAGGACTCTGAGGACCATGCAGACCCCAAGGACACCGAATTACGCCAAGATCTCAGAACTTCCGAACACTCTGGAACATCCGGAAACTTCACGATCCTCAAGGCTTCGTTTGTGCGGATTACGTCAATTCCTACGTACGTTACGTGAAATATGCACGCCACGTAAAATAATCTGTACGAAGTTTTATCAGGATTTATCAGGATTTCAGTATAGTTTACGTATTCTGTGTCATAGAATGTAACATAGGACCGCATACATTCTCGTTCGAAAGTTTACTTTTTAGACGAAACAGTCTTCTTCGTGTTTTCTTTTTTTTTTTTTAGAAATACGTTTTAATTTTTAAATGTAACAATTAAAGTTCCAGTGTTCATTTACTTGCAAAAATCATTATTCCTTGCGTAATTTTAACATGCTCCAAATTTAAGCGTCATTATAATGTCTCGTGCGTTGGAGGATATCTTGAATTACACGAATGGAATGTACAGAACATATCATATTCATAAAGTTATTAATACAATAAGCTGTGAATTCGAAGTAGTTTTCATCAGTTATTAACAATTTTTGTTAGCACCCATCACTTGAAAATGGCAAGTCTTCAATTCTTGGATGGTGTACTGCACATCATCAAACTTACTACTTATCTTTCGAAATACACTGGCTCTTTATTTCTCAATAGACTTCGATTTTCAATTTCTTAATTATCACCAGCTTGCTACATTTTGCTCGAAATTATTTCTCGAAAGAGTACTAAAAAGATTAAGTAAATCGAAGGTAATAGATCCTACGACGTTGCAGTCAGGTGAAAATCATATCTTTTATCCTATTAATTTGCATTGAAGAGAAGAACACAGGCTCGGTAAAGCGTGTAAGCGAACGATAACGTATCGCATCCTAACGTGCAAGGTGTAGCGAAGGCGATACAGATACGACGAGGAAATTATTCCCATGATGAGGGTTCCTACCTCTCAACCAGTTAGTATCAAAATCCCATTACGAGACGGAAGCCGTGCCTCGAGCGAATTCGATGGCTCACTTGGATAATACCAATATCAATTTCACGTTGCTGAAGAAAAACAGACGTTATATAAACCTCCTCGCGAGACGTCAAATTCCGAGCAGTTAGACGGACAAGAGTACAGAACTGTTGCCGCTACTCTAACATCGTGCTACTCTGGATACCATAATTTATATTATGTTACGAAAATTCTGGATATTTAATTTTACTTTATATACTCTCTTCTTGATAGAAATTTAATATCAGAACTGTGTATACAGTATAAAATTTGTATAAGGAAAATCAAAACGCACCGAGCAGGAAAGGGAAAGTTTCCGTTCGCACAAATCTTTTACGTTTACAACTGCAAATCTGTCAAATTATTTCAACCATCTTGATTGATAGTGCAAATAGAATGAATGAAATAAAAATAAAATCCAAAATTAAATAATGTAAAGTTTAAATTATTATGGATTCTAATGCTCGATGATACCAGTTATAATGCGGAATACGTTTTCCCTCTTCTCTCAACTATTAATCAGCGTAGAATAAAGTATTCCAAAACTGAAAAGACAAAGGTAAAGGAGGAAATTACCCAAGTTGACAACGGGAAATTTAATCGTTTAACAGAGGTAAACTGCAGCAGAAGACTAAAATGCTCGTAGAGGCAGTCGAGACCGAGAGTGAAATGAAGGAGGCTGATATTGTTATTTGCAGAAATTGCACTTTATTACCGTGACTCTACCTCTTCAATGCTGTTCCATTATTTAAATTTATAAAAGCAACGTTTCTATTTATAACTTGAAATACTACATAAATATGGTAAACGTAGCAACGAAGATCCTAATGAAACGTACAGTGGCTCGCAAAACTATTTGTACATTTAACGTTTGTATGTATGTACGTATGTATTATCATGCGTGTTATATACCGTTATATATTTAAAACACAAATTTAGCTTTAAATGTACGAAATATATATTAACCCTGTACGCTTTTTTTCAAAATAGTTGAAAATTTTACCAATATAATATGATAGTTGGCAGTTTTAATGAAATATCCAAATGTTACGTGTACAGTAGCACGTGATAATACGTTCATGAAAGATGTCGACAAATGTGGAGATACTCGCATATACTCGTGTGCTATGATAATTATCGTATTACGCGTTATTTAAATGTAATTAACGTTCGTCAATGACGAACAAATAAGCGAGCAGACGACATTAATGAGCTCCCGCGGGATATAGTTTTAATCATTGTACTTTTAGTGGATGGGTTTACAAAGGCAATCCTTTCCCGGCCAAACTTAATTGCAAAGTTTCCAGCTGAGAAAATTGGTACATTCGTAACTTTCGACAGCCACGGGGATGATACCTAAACTAACACCGTCTCGAACTTTTCTCGTTTGCGATCAACTTTATATATATCCACGGAGTGCCTTGCTTTAATTGCAAGGATCTTATTTACATTTTACGCTCCATCTTTGTCCATGTTTCGAGCCACGAGCGCGCTTAATTTCATCGGCATCCGGTGACTTCAGTTGAAGCCAATTGAATTGCCTGCTTGCCCAAATATTAACGCGAATAAATACAAATATTTGTTGAAACAATATTAGACGTAGAAATTAATTCGTCGAACGAAATTTTCACCCGGAAGATAACCTCCATCGTTTTCAATTTCCGTCGTTGTTTCGCTGACACGTATAAACGCGCTTGCGCAATTTCTCGACGAAATCTTTACGTTGAATCTTCTAATTCGGCGGGCAAAGTTGAAATCGAAGAAGTTACAGAAATTACCTCCTCCGAGTAATAAATTAGAAAAGGACGAAAAACGATAGAGAGTGGATTTCATCCTTCATCGTCAAAAGAACGACTTTCTGCTCTCCTTTATGGAACGTATAATGGTTTTCGAGTGGAAATAGCAGATACTATCCGGCGCGGTGTCATCGTTCGAGGGTATAAAAAAAAAGCACTTACTTCCTAACGACTTCCATTTTAACATTTTATTGGCACTTTTTCTATCTGACCCTGTGTCGTTTGATTTTCCAAACCTGCGAATGTTGAACTTGCATACCCGAGCTGACGAAGCCCTATTCCCTCACCTTTTCAATATTTCAAACTGTGGATCGTCGATCGTAGATCGTCAGTCCCGCGATAAAACGAGCACGTGTGGTATCAATAAACAGCAGAGAGGTACGGCGAAGAGCATAACCGAACATAATGATCGCAGATCTCGCGTGAATCGTTTTTCATTGTCGTTAACGCTACAGATAATTTATTTAATGATTCAATCACGCTTCTCTTCACGGCAGAATTTCACCTGCCTGATAACGCGAAAATCGTGAGAACGTTCTAACAGGGAAATTATAATACGTCAAGCGGAAACGTTGTTTCCCTAGGCGGGCAAATCGCGAAGATTTATCGGCAATAAAAGAAGCGATGACTATGCCCCGAGGGCTGAGTATAGGACGAATGAAGTGGAAATTCACTGAAGGACGAAAGCGGATATGCGCCTCCCCAAGATGGTTGAACTTACGACGTGCTACGCCAAGTTCTAAGACCACGATTTAACGGCCAAGGGAATTAGATCGACGACGTACGAGCCACGTACAGCATTGAGATCGATAGTTCGAAATACCTCTTATCATCTCGAGAAAAAAAAAAAAAAGAAAAATATACGATGACGATACGTC